TTCAAGTGGCTATTTGTTTCTCATTATTTGTTTCAATGTCTACAGCAAGAAAAAAGCGCTTCCCACTTTTGAAATTTATCTGTCATTTCTTAGATTATCCGCTTAAAATTGATCAGGATCCTTTCCAAAGACAAAAGACAAAACGTTTTTTGTAGGGTCCAAAATCCAAAACACATTCCTTGATCGTTTCTGACACCATCAATCTTAGATCGATTGATCTATGTATCCTTAGTTCAGGAGCTCACTCACTTTTGGAGTATTGCCAGAATAATCCTTCTGTAGCGACCCCTGGAAGTTATGTAGAATTCTGGTCATTATATTTCAACATTCTGAGAGAAATCAGAGAAGGAACAAAGGAAGTGACACTTTGAATTTAGGCTCAGAGCTACAGAGACAGGCTACTTAAACTGGGAATGGTGGCAATTCAGAAAGTAAGGCTCAGGAGCAATCTGACTGGGATATTCAATATTGTAAAGAATATGTTTAACTTGAATAATGTTTGACACGGTCTCATATTTAAATCACAATGTACAAACGCAGAAAAGGGATAGTTCACGGAACGTCTGGGGAAGCAGAGCTAAGGTGATGAGTTAGGTTCTGGATATATAATTAGCTAAAACGCTTATATATGATTTCTGAAACTCATGGCTTTTTTCCTAACATTTAGATCAGTCAGATGGATTGCAATGGTTTCTTTAAACTATAAATTGCTTCGTGTCTAACAGACAGTGTGTAGATACAGTTTCTGTATTTATATCATTGTAAAATTATTAATCAATCATTCTCACTCAGTTCATTTTGGATCCTACAAAAAAAAACCACTACCATGACATATACTTTAATCATTTCACATGTGTTGGAGATTCCAATGCAAAAATAATTAAATCCAGAATTAGATATTGTGTTCGGCTAGTGTGCTTTGTAAGACATCAAGAGTTGGACTAGAGTAGCATGCAGGCCAGAGAATGGCAGGAAGGACATGCTTAAATCCTCTGGGTTTTTCTGCGGCTGGATTTATTCAATTTGATTTCACAGCCTGTCACGGTCGGTGTACTATGGGCTAGTCCAGTGCCATAAACCCTGCCTCACTGTGCTCTTAAATTCTCACTTGATATTCTGTAGCTCCAATGTAATCCCCTCTAGAGCCTTATGCAACACCACAGTTATGTTGGCTTTGGCTGTTATACACGAAACAGAAATATATAACGATGAGTAGAATTGAAGTATTCAGCCAAATTACTTTCAGATGACCTTAAGCAGAGGCCCCATCTTCCTGTTCAGATGGCACTACTGTATTCTAAAAACAGCAGGGTGTTTTCCCCATATCCTAGCCAGCAATTCTCCCAGTACAATTACCATCAAAACAACTAAGTAACTTGTTGTTTCTCCACTGTTTGTGGAATCTCATGACATATAAACTGGCTGTTGCAAATGCTGATATAATGACTGCACTCCAAGAATGTCACCTGAAATAAAAACACCAAATGCTGGAGAAACTCAGCAGGTCTGACACCATCTAAGCAAAGAAAAGCAGGCAGAGTTAACATTTCAAGTCTGATATAACAAAAGAACATGGGAGGAACTAAACAAATTCAATTTCTCTCTATCATTAACCTGTTTCAGACGACTTACGAAATACGATTATAGCAACTATTTATTTTCTACCTCACCTGTTTGGAAGCAGGTCATTATTGTTTCACTTACATCACCCTCTTCCAGACACCACTGCTCAGCCTTCTTAATCTCTGGATTTCTGGGAGTTCCAGTCTTCTAATAAGTTTCTTTCTGATTGTTATGGAGCTGTAGGACAAAAGTAGCTGCTAATTTGCTATTTTGATACACTCATTATGACTGTATCATCTTTATTTCCCTCTTCTGCAGATGTGCTCACCTTTATTGAATAGCTGCTGTCGCCTCTCTGGTCAATAATGTTCTCTCTAGCTAACTTACCTGCTCTATCTTTTTGAAACATGCTATACCATCCCAGCTTCATTTCTTGTCCATCTTCACCTTGCAGCCATGTCTCTGTAATGTCAATAACGCTTATTATTTTCACCAGCTACTAATTCTAAGAGGTTTATCCTGAACATGTTAGTAGGAATTTTCTATTTCACTTTTCAGTACTTTTCTACTTAAGAATAAAACAATGGGAGTAGACCAATTAGCCCCTTGACTACGTTCTGCTATTAAATTCCAAGTTAATCCTTTTAGGTTGAGTCCTTCTCCACAGTGAATAAAGGTTGTCTTTACTGACCAGCCTTTTTTTTTGGCAAAGTATCACTGCTTTTACTGTTAAACCTTTTGGAAAAAGTCTCATGATTATATTTTACACCAATAGGCTATCTCCCTGTACTTGTCATGTACTTCTTGTTCAGCTTCCAGCTAATTCTTCACCTACAGCCAAACTGCACTGGTTTAGGAATACAGATGGCAGATTTGGTTTCAAATCAGTAAGTATTTCTTAAAAGAACGAGTGAGGAACTGGTGACAGTAATCACGGATGATATCAGAGTAATCTGCACCCTCAGGTTTGAAAATACCCATTGTAATTTTCTTATTATTTGATAGAACCTCAAACACTCACATAAGACATGACAACTAATTCAGCCTTTTTTTCTTTATTTCTCTCCCTTCTGAAGGCACTGGCTTGTACTGGCCTGGCAGCCTTTGGTTAACCTATTCAACTGACCACACTGAGTGTTCGAAAGAAAGGAGACAGCCAAGTCCTGACCTCAACCAGTATTCCTTCTCCAGCATTCAGAGAATATAGGAGTCACATGTAGGAACTCTGGTTCATATGGTTTTGTTTCCCACAATCTAGCCCAGGGACACCGAAGTTAAATGTAGCAGCTTGAGTTAGTTGACCTCAGCTATGTCTAAACCTCTGTGGATACAGGTCTTCTTGGTTGGTATGGCTCTGTACCAAACTGCAGTAAAACTACTCATCAAGTTGTCAGAATATAATATTTAAGTCAGATCACTCCACACTATTTCAGGGACCTTCTCACAACTGACTAGGCTGCCAACTAAAGAAGAGTCTTGAGGATTGCAGACTTCACATTTGGCGAAGCACTGGGGGCTGCTGGTGCAGAATTGGTGGGTAGACAGCTACATAGAATCATAGAATCCTTACAGTGTGGAAGCAGGCCATTCAGCCCAGCAAGTCCATACCAACTCTTCAAAGAGAATTCCACCCAGACTCAACCCCCCTATCCTATCCCTGTAACCCTGCATTTCCCATGGTTAACCCACCTAGCCTGTCCATGTTTGAATCATAGAATCATAGAAACCCTACAGAGTGGAAACAGGCCATTCGGCCCAACAAGTCCACACCGCCCCTCTGAACAGCATTCCACCCAGACCCATTCCCCCACCCCTTCCATTTCCCTTGTCTAACCCACCTAACCTAAACATCCCTTTGGACCGTGGGAGGAAACTGGAGTATGCAGAAGAAGCCCACGCAAGCATGGGGAGAATGTGCAAATGCCACACAGACAGACAGTCACCCAAGACTGAAATCAAACCCAGTTCCCTGGCACTGAGAGGCACAGTGCTAACCAGAGCCACCATGCTGCCCCTACATAGTTTACTTAATTAAATGCCAGCAGTTGCAATGACCAAACTTGTCATTCCCAAATTCTTCACTCCAGCATAGAACACCAATTTCTCTGGATTTTGGTAAGCAACATCTTCGGTCCCAAAACAGGCAGAGCATGCATTCTCATTAGTCAAACAGAAACTTCATGTTGTGGATTTGCCAGTGACTTGAGACGTCACACAACCAGTTGACCAAAATAAATATCTTATAACCATTTCTCCTCCACAGTCTTACCACAATTGCTTCCGAGTCTTCAATAATTGCTTGCTGAGTTTCAGTCCTCTTTTCCAATAGCTGCACCACTACCTCAGCAACTACATTCTTTCATTCACCACATAAGAACAGGAGTAAGACATTCAGTTGCATCATCTGTACCTCAAATCCATTCGCCAGCTTGTGTTCAATATCCCTTTATACCCTTAATGCACACCACGTCATTCATCTCAACTATAAAAATATCAACCAAGCCAAAATTCACAATTTTTTTTAAGTGAAAAATTGCTTTCTGATTTCATTCATAAACCATCTAGATCTAATGCTAACATTGTGGCTCCTTGTTCCGTTTATCCCCACTAAATGGCTTCTCTTCATCTTTTCTTTATCCTTTCATGGGGATGCGAGTATTGCTCACAGGTCCAATATTTGTTGCCCTGAACAATGTGGTCTGGAGACATTTCCTTGATCCAATACATTCCACATGACGTAGATATAGCCACAGTGCTGTGAGGAAGGGAGTTCCATTTTTATTTGTCAAATAGCAATGAAGGGCAAATTCCTTCATTGTTTAAAATATCTCAATTTATTGCCTTTGAAACACAATCCAAACTGACGCAAGAATGGACTCTCAGCTTAACCCTTCAAGTACCAGTGTCATCCCCATGAACCTGCAATGCAATCCCTAGCTCTCCACAAGGGCATTTCATTCTTCCTAAGTAAAAAGCAATAGAATTGTGGATGCTGTAAATCACAGGCAAAAATAGAAATTGCTGGAAAAGCTCAGCAGGTCTGGCAGCATCTGTGGTGAGAAATCAACAGTTAACATTTCGGTTCAAGTGACCCTTCCTCAGAACACTGGACCTGAAACGTTAACTCTCTTTTTCTCTCCCACAGATGATGCCAGACCTGCTGAGCTTTTTCAGCAATTTCTGTTCTTGTCCCGTCCTTCCTGAGGTCGGTGCTTAAAAGTGAACATCGTACTCCAAATGGGGTCTGACCAAGGCTGTACATAACTGAACGACCGATTCCTCATCCTTCACTTCAAGCTCCTTCAAATAAGATCCAAGATCCTCCATGTTTCAGATAATTCAATTTACTCCACATGATATCAAGAAACAGTTGCAGGTACTAGATACTACAAAGGCTATGAGCCCTGATAACATTCCTGCAATAGTACTGAAAACTCATGCTCCAGAACTTGCTGCTCCCCTAGCCACACTGTTCTAATACAAACTCACCACTGGCATCTACCTGACAATGTAGAAAATTGCCCAAAGGGACAGGAGTAGGCCATTCAATCCCTTGGGCCTGTTGCACCATTTAGTGAGACTATGGCTGATATGTGGCTTAACTCCAACTACCTGCCTTTAGCTGGTATCCCCAAACACCTTTGCTTAGCGAAAATTTATCTATCTCAGATTTATAATTAATTTGTGGAAGACCGTTCCAAACCTCTACCAGTCTTTGTGTGTAGAAGTGCTTCCTAACATCTCTACTGAATGTTTGGCCCTAATTCTCAAACTATGCTCCCTAGTTCTAGAATCCCTAACCAGTGGAACTTTTTTCTTTTTAATCTGCCTTGTCTTTTCCTGTTAATATCTTGAAGAGATCTATCACAGCACCCCTTAACTCTTTAAATTCTAGAGAAATGGGGCCTAATTTGTATAACCTCTCCTCATAACTGGACTTCGGAGGTTAAGTTATCATTTTTGTAAACTTAAATTGTATTCCCTCCAATACATCCTTCCTAAAAAGTGTGGTGTCCAGATCTGATCAGAGTACTCCAAGTGGAGTCTAAAACTAGGGTTTTATACAGCTGCAGTATTACCTCTGCACCCAGATACTCCAGTCCTCTACATATAAAGCCCAGCATGATATTCATTTCTTGAGTATTTTCTGCACCTATTTGTGGCATTTTAAGAATCTATGCTTCTGAACCCCAAAGTCTCTTTGGACATTCACTCGATTTAATTTCATACTATTCAAGGAGTACGCTGATCCATCGTCTGCCTATCCAAAATGGATAACCTCACACTTGCTTATACTGAAATCCACAGTTTAGCCCATTCACTTAGTCTATCAATATTCATTTGTAACGTTATGCTATAATTTACACCGTCTATAATGCCACCTTTGTATCATCAGTAAATTTGGATAGATGATTTTCTATGCCAATATCCAAGTCAATCATAAATAATGTGATTAATTGAGGTCCTAACACAGGTCCTGTGGGACACCACTGATCACGTCCTGCCCATTTGAGGACCTACCCATTACTCCAGCTTTGTCTCCTGCCACTCAAACAATTTCCCAGCCATGTCCAGGTAGGTCCTGTATACAAAAAGCAGGATAAATCCAACCCAACCAATTACTGCCCCAATCTACTCTGGATCATCAATAAAGTGATGTATGGTGTTATCAACACTACTGTCAAGCAACACCTACTCACTGATGCCCAGTCTGCGTTCCACCAGGGCCACTCAGCTCCTGACCTCATTACAGCCTTGGTTCAAACAGGGACAAAAGAGCTGAATTCCAGAGGTGAGGTGAGATGAGATGAGAGTAACTGCTCTTGGCATCAAGGAACCAATGGGAATCGGCGGAGGGGCAACTCTCTGCTGGTTGGAGTCATTGCTGGCACATAGGAAGATCGTTGTGGTTGTTGGAGGTCAGTCATCTGGGCTCTAGTTGCTCAGGGTAGGTCCTAAGCCCAACCATCTTCAGCTGCATCATCAGACCTTCCCTCCATCATAAGGTCAGAAGTGGGCATGTTTGCCAATGATTGCACAATGTTCAGCAGCATTCATAACTCAAATACTGAAGTACTCCAGGTTCAAATGCAACAGGGCTTGACAATATCCATACTTGGACTGAAACATTCATACCACACAAGTGCCAGGCAATGACCATCTCCATTAAGAGACAACTTAACCGCCTCCCTTTGACAGTCAATGGTGTTACCATCAGTGAATCCTCCATTGTCAACATCCTGGGAGTTACCATTGACTAGAGACTGAACTGGACACACCAAATAAATACAATGGCTACATCAGCAAGTCAGAGGCTAGGAATCTTGCAACAGGTAACTCACCTCCTGTCTCCCCTAAGTCCAAGCATCACCTACAAGACACAAGTCAGGGTTGTGATGAAAAATGTCCCACTTGTCTGGAGGAGCGCAGCAATGATACTAAGAAGCTTGACACCACCCAGGACACAGCGACCTGCTTGACTGGCACAACATCCACAAACATTCATTCATCCACTCCACCAGCACAGCAGTGTGTACTGTAGAAATTTGCCATAGAAATTCAGGCAGCATCTTCTAAACCCACAACCAATTCTAATTAGAAAGATTAGAGCAGCAGATACATGGGAACACCACCATCTGCAAGTTCCCCTCCAAGCCACTCACCATCTTGACTTGGAAATACATCAACCAGTCCTTCACTATAACTGGGTCAAAATCCTGGAATTCCCTGCCTAAACAGCATTATCAGTCTACTTACAGTGCATGGACTGCAGCAATTCAGGAAGGCAGCTCACCACTACCTTCTCAAGGACAACTAGGGATGGACAATAAATGCTGGGCAGCCAGCTACATGCCACGAGTGAATAAAAATAAACTTCTTTCTACAAAGCATCAGGTATTGGCATATACTCCCTTAATGCCACCTTTTGAACAATTGCATGGTGATGCCAATGTTTCCACTCCTTATCTCAGGAGTACAGTTCCAATAATTATTTCAATGAATCTATGAAAATAAATCTTACTCTGGTACAAGTCCATTTAACTGTATGACACCTGGTATTCAGAAGCTGATTGTGGTAGATTATTCCGTGGTTTCAAAATGTTGAACGTTTCATGAGAAAAAATCTCAGCAGTGTGGACAATTCATGGATAAAAATGCAGTATTACAGGGGATGTTTTAATATTCTGGGGACCTGGGTTTGAATTCCACAACAGGAGATGGTGGGATTTTAATTCCAGACTCGTGAATTCGAAATCAAATGATGTCCACGAAACCATTCAATTGCTGTGAAAAGCCACTAGGTTCATTAATGACCTTTAGGCAAGGAAACAGCCATCTTGACCTGGTCTGGCCTCCATGCGACTCCAGACCCAAAGCAAAGCAAATGACTCTTAACTTCCCTCTGATATGCTGTGAAAACCATTACTTTTATCATCTTCTAGAGTGCATAAAAAAAATGAAACAAGTGGACCACCTAGTACTGACTAAGACAATGGAATGGTAACAGCAAACACAGTTTTGTTGACCTTGCAAAGTACTCTTTAATAATATCTGCAGGCAGTTGTCAAAATTGGGACAGCTATCTCACAGACTAGGCAAGCAACAGCCTGACACAGTCATACCTTACTCGCGATGCAGATACCACCACCACTATCCCTGGCTATACTTGGTGTCAATGGTAGAACGGGCCCAGCAGAATTGGCGGAACAGTAGTATATAGTTGGGAAGGACTTGCACTGTGGAGTTCTAAACATTGACTCTGAACCCTACGAATTCTTATGTCAAACATGGGCAAGAATTAACCCTGGTTGAAAATGTTTATAGTAAAAAATCTCCAAGTTACAATATTAATCTTCAAACTCAGCATCTTCAAACTGCCATATCTAACAACTTTTCTATAGTAACAGGTGAAATATCCACGCGCGCATGGTGAAAATTACAGAAAGTGATGTGGTGCAAATTCTCGAGCATGACATGTCAAATCCTCAAATCTCAAGGAACAATTTTCCACACAACAAACAAGTGTAGTAATGAAGACAAACAAAAAGTCCCAGAGATAATGGAAATGGGCCCGAATGATAAATCATTTGATATGACAAATCACTTGTCCTAATTAAAATTGATAACCACCATCTTGTCAATCTTTTCTATAATATAGTAAAATCACAGAATCCAGCAAAATAAATCATCAGCAATAGCCTTTGGATTCTATCTAAAACAGCACTCTCAATCTCTATATTATACTGTAATCTACTAAGAAAACAGCAAAAACAACCTGAATGCCACTCTTCATGAATTGCACTTTGGTCACTGCTGCTTGCTGGATTTTCATCATCTTCCCCCTCTGCTCCATTCACTGACGATTCTGCATTATAAACACTTTCTTCAGGAGGGCTTGAATTGGAAGCTACCTCCTCCTCCTCTTCTTCACTGAACTCTTCACTGGGCTGCTCCTGCAACAAACGCTCCATCGATTCCCGAAGCTCCTGTAGGTCATCTGCATCACCTTCTCCAAACATACTGCAACACACAAATCATTAAATGACCGCTTTACTTTTTGATCACAGTTAACTTTGATTCTCTACCATTTCCAGTCTTTGTCCTCAGCCTCTTACACTGTCTCAGTGAAGGCCAATGCAAGATTGAGGAACAGCATGTCCTCTTTTAATTAGACAGTTTACAACCTGATAACCTCAAAAGGGAGTACAATGACTGGAGAATTTCATGAACAAGTGGTGAGCAATAAGTCTACTTGTAACTTTTACACCTCCTCTAAACCCATTTTTTGTTACTGCACCTTTGCCTTCCATTATCATCCTGTCTAGAATTAAATCACCCCTTTCTTCTACCCTATAAGAGACCTTTCCTTTTACACAGAGGGTGGTGGGTGCCTGGAACTCGCTGCCGGGGGAGGTATTTGAAGCAGATACGATACTGACTTTTAAAGGGCATCTTGACAAATATATGAATAGGATGGGAATAGAGGGATATGGTCCCCAGAAGGGTAGGGGGTGTTAGTTGTGACGGGCAGCATGTCGGTGCAGGCTTGGAGGGCCGAAGGGCCCGATCCTGTGCTGCAATTTTCTTTGTTCTTTTGTTCTTTGACTACACCAAGCAGTAATTCAAAAACATCTAGAAACCCACAATATAAGGAGGAGTCAGCAAGGATTGCAAAAAGGGAAAAACATGCTTGACCAATCTTTACGAATTCTCTAAAAATTAACAGAGCAGATAATGGTCATGTCGTAGATGGAACACATTTGATTTTCAAAAGCCCTTTGATTATTTAATGCATAGTATACTCATGACTAAGGTTCGAGCATATGAAGTCATGGGACAGACGGCAGAATGAATCACTAGCTAGTTAGAAAATGGATCATTGAGGTTAAAGGGAATGGATTGGATCAGCACAAGGTGAAATCACAGGGCTGATTTTTTCATATTCATTCATGGGATGAGAACGTTGTCAGTTGGACCAACATTTATTACGCATCCCCAATCGCCCTGTTTTAAAGTGGAGGTGAGTTCTCTTCTTGAACTGCTACAAGCCACATATTGTAGGTACATGCACAGTTCTGAAAGGGAGATAGTTCCATGATTTTGACCAGTGATAGTGAGGGAATAGCAATGTAGTTCCAAGTCAGGATAGATACGCAGCACGGAGGGAAGCTTGCAGCTGTTACCCTTAGCATTCCAGGTGGTAGAGATTGTGGGTTTGGAAGGTACTCTTAAAAGGAGCCTAAGAGAGTTGTTGGAGTTCACCTTGGACAATGGTGGAGAGAATGAATGTAGAAGTTGTCATGTGGTGCCAATCAAGTGGGCCGCATTGTCCTCGGATGGTGTTGATTATGACTACTGTAGTTCATAATTTATGTTAAACAATTTGCAGGTGATAACAAACTAGAGGATGAATATAACACAGGAGGAAGAAATGAAGAAAACACAACTGTATTTAAAAACTGCAAAATAGTCCAGAGTATTACAAAATTGTTCAAGTGTAGGAGGCCATTTAGGTCATAGTGTTTGTACCAACTCTCCAAATGAATGTCACATCTAGTGCTATTCTGGTCTTTTCCCATCACCCTGCACATAGTTATACATAAAATAACTACCTAATTCCAAATTGAATCTAAGCAACATACTTGGAGTCTATATGGAAAAAAAGAATAAAAAAAAAGGACTAAGGTAGATATTCACAAATTATGGAAAGATTAATAAAGTCATAAAAGAAAGCATACCAAGTGATGGGATCCAATTTTAGAGGGAAAGAATTGAAAAGCAGATGGGTTATATGGAATCTTGGTCAGATGACACTTTGGACGTGTGTGATCCTGAATTTCATATTTTTGAAAAGGATACAGAAGCATTGCAGAAAATGCAAAGGTAATTCACAACAATGATAGCAGAGCGGAGGGACAGTATTGAGAGCAGGAAAAGCGGACAGGCTGGAACGCACTTCTTACAAAAGAGAAGTCTGACCTGACTGCGGTCTTAAGACTTTTGAAAGGAATTGATCTCGTAGATGTAACGGGAATGCTTCCAATTATGGGAAGGGGCTAAACGAGGTCATAAATGTGAGGTAGTTGCTAACAAATAAAATAGAGAATGAAGGAGAATTTTTTTTAAAACTCTGATCCAAATACAAATCATGCTACATAGGCAAGCAAAATAAACGGGGAAATTAGATAAGCACATGAGGGGGAAATGGAAAAGGAGTTTATGCTGACAGAAGGAGATGAAGCGAGACGGGTGGGTGCTCAGGTGCAGCATAAGCATAAACCATTCGGGCCAAACAAGTCTACAGCACAGAAACAAATCAACATTACTTGGATGTCACACGCCAACAGCTGCTGCAAATGCCAGCACATGGCAGCATCATACAGAGGGAGTACAGTAGGTAGAAATCATAATAGATCTAGTCCATCTAGCCCCTTTGCATGGCTTTGGGTACATTTGAAATGATTAAACAATTGTCACATATACCGAGAAACAGTGAAGAGTGTTGTTTTGCATATTATACAGGTAGATCGTACCATACAAAGTGCATCAGGGTAGCAGAGCAGAGTGCAGAATACAGTGTTACATCTGCATAGAAGGTGAGGAGAGAGAGAGATCAGAATTTGAGAGGTCTCAACATTTGAGAGATCTGTTCAAAAGTCTGATAACAGCGAGGCAGAACATGTTCTTGAACCTGTTTGTACGTGTATACAAACTTTTATATCTTCTGCCTGAGTGAAGAAGGTGGATGAGAGTATAACCAGGGTGTTAGGGATCTTTGATTATGTTGGTTGCTTTCCTGAGGCAGCCGGAAGTATGCATGGAGTCAATGGATGGTAGGCTGGTTTGCGTGATGGACTGGGCTGTGTTCATGATTCTCTGTAGTTCTTGCAATCTTGGGAACAGCAGTTGCCATACCGTGCTGCGATGCATTCAGATACGATGTTTTCTATGGTGCATCTATAAAAATTGCTAAGAATCCTTGTGGACACGCTGAATTTCCTTGGCCTCCTGGAGGAAGTAGAGACGTTGTTGTGCTTTCTTGACCGTCACATTGATGTGGGTGGACCAAAACAGATTGTTGGTGATCATCACCCCCAGCAACTTGACACTCTGGACCGTCTCCATCTCAGCACCACTGATGCAGACGGGCACGACCACCGCCCCCACCACTCTGTTTCCTGAAATCAATGGCCAGCTGCTTCATTTTGCTGACGTTGATGAGCAATTGAGTCTTTAGCAGCATGGTGTAAAAACAGCAATCTTCTTCCTGTATTCTGTCATGTCATTGCCAAATGAATCTCAAACAATGGTGGTGTCAGCAAACTTGGGGCGGAATTTGGCCATACAGTCAAGAGTGTATAGGGGTTGAGTACGCAGCCTTATGAGGCAACAGTGTTGAGGATTATGGCAGAGAAGGTGTTGTCACCTGTTACCACTGATGGCGGTCTATGGTGAGGAAGTCAAGGATCCAGTCACAGAGGCGGGAGCCAAGACTTTGGTCTCAGAGTTAAGACAGGAGTTTGTTTGGAATTATGGTGTTGAAGGTAGAACTGTAGTTAATAAGTATGAGCCTGACGTAAGTGTGCTTCTGCGACTCTAAGTATTGTTGTTATCCAGATGTACTAGGGATGAGCGTAGGTCCAGGGAGGTGTCGTCTGCTGCGGACCTTTTGCACCAGTAGGCAAATTGCAAAGTATCAATGCAATTTGGTAGGCTGGAGTTGATATGAGCCATGACTGATTTCTCAAAGCACTTCATAATTATGGAGGTCAGAGCCACCAGATGGTAGTGCATTGAGGCACGCTGCATAATTTTTCTTTGGCACCAGGATGATGGTGTTCTTAAAGCAGGTCGGGACTTCAAATCGTCGTAAGGAAAGTTTAAGGATGTCGGTGAATACTCCCACCAGCTGGACTGCACAGGATCTGAGTGCATGGCAGGGGACTCAGTCTGCGTCAGTGGCTTTCCACGGGTTCGCTCTTAAGGCAGCCAATCTGATGTCTGTGATGGTAACCGTGAGTACAGGTGGATCCGATGCTGTTGGGATAGGTGGCATCGTTTCACTGACCTTCTGTTCACAGCGTGTGTAGAAAGCATTGAGCTCATCGGGTAGGCATGTGCTGTTGCCCACGATTCTGTTCAACTTCGCTTTGTAACCCATTATGTCATGTAAGCCTTGGCACATACATCAGGTCCATGTGTGATTGGTCTGGGGTCTCAAGCTTAGTTTGGTATTACCTCTTGGCATCTCTGATGGCCTTACAAAGGTCGCACCTGGATTTCCTGCATAGATCAGGGTTGCCCAAACTTGTATAACTCAGACCTGGACTTCAGTAGGGAGTGGATCTCTTGGTTCATTCATGGTTTCCGATTGGGGAACATTCAAATTAACTTCTTCAGCATGCAGTCTTCTACACACTTACTAGTGAAGTCTGTCACGGTGGTGGCACACACATTTAAGTTGGCTGCTTGAATTCTTGAATATGGGCCAGTCCACCAATTCTAAGCAGTTCTATAGAAGCCCTTTCGTTGCCTCAAACCAACACTGCACTGCTTTCTGTACTGGGTCCTCACGCTTCAATTTCTGCTCGCAAGTTGGGAGAAGGAACACAGGGTCGAGCTCCGATTTTCCAAAATGTTGGCGTGGGAGCGGTAGGCATCTTTGATGGTTGTATAACAACAGGGTCAGATGTTTTGGACAGATGGTGGAACAGGAGACGTGTTGATGGTATTTTAGTATCCAAGGCTTCTCAAAAACTAAGGGAGTTATTGGCACAGTTGAGAATGAACACAGGATCCAACAGCTGCATTCATTGTTATATTATAACACGCTCACAAACATTTTTTGTTTGGCTTATTTTAAACATTAAAACCGTGGGATCTTCCCTCAAAAACTCAAAAATATTATGTTCAGTAAAGAAATTGTCTAGACAACGCACTGAAAACAACAATTGAAATAATTGCAAACGTACGTATCTGAGTCAGAGTGGTACTCATCCTTGTTGGGCTCATCTTCTACTTCATCTAGTTCAAGATTATCCTCAGGAGCATCAGATGCATTAAGATCATCAACATACGTCTTTAACATTTTGTTGAGGTCAGGGAGAGAACAGGTCCTTAGCATCTGCAGACAGAAAAACTACATTCAAAACTAAGGAAAAACAGTGGCTTTGGAGGCAGTCCAGAGAAGATTCACTAAGCTGGTACCAAGTATGGAGGGTCTGTTTTATGAGGAGAGGTTGAGTACATTGGAAAATTGAAGAATGAAATGAAAGGCAACTTTATTAAAACATACAAAATTCTTAGCGGACTTGACCAGGGTAGATGCAGAAAGGCTGTTTCCCCTTGTGGGACAGTTTGGGCCAGAGGGCATAATCTCGGAATAAGAGATCACCCATTTAAGACTGAGATGTAGAGGAATTTCTTCTCTCAGAGGGTAATGAATCTGTAGAATGCGTTGCAGCACAGAGGTGTCGAGGCTGGGTCATGAAGTATATTCAAGGCTAAGATAGACAGATTTTTAATCAGTAAGAGAATCAAGTGGTATAAGGAAAAGACAGGAAATTGGAGTTGAAGATTATCAGATCATCCATGATCTCAAATGAATAGCACAGCAGACTTGATGGGCTGAATACCTACTTCTGCTCCTATATCTTATGGTCCATGTGGTGCATCACATCTCAGAAAGGGAGAAAGATATTCACACAGAGCTGTAAGACAAAGAGAGGCTAAGAGGGTGGAAAAAGGCTACAGGGATTCAGTACTGGCAGTTTTCAGTGGGTTTCCCTTCAGAATGTCAGTGCTTAACCACTGGATAACAGTGTGGATACTCACTGTCAGGTGCAAAAGCAACTGAAATTGCTAAATGGTCCCTGGCTTGTGAAGTAATTTGTTACCTACTCTGAAAAGGCAATACCAAAACTCGAGAGCAAACTCACTGATCAGCCAACTATTAAATCTTTGTTACTTGCTTTCTCCCCTTTCCAATTTGGTGTCATTTGTCAATTCAGACCTTTGTTTCTGACCCCCAGCCATGAAAACAGTGCCAGTCACGGTCTGTCACTGATCTCTGCAGAAGGGTCTAGGCCTGAAACGTCAGCCTTCCTGCTCCTCCGATGCTGCTTGGCCTGCTGTGTTCATCCAGCTCTACACCTTATCTCAGATGCTCCAGCATCTGCAGTTCCTGCTATCTCTGAACCCTATGCTTTCCTTGTTTAGTCAGTCTTCAACCCACCTCATGTACCTGACTCATATCTTATTGCTTCTCATTGTGCATCTATTGCTTCTGTGAGACAATACCAAAAACTGTGCAGAAATTTAAATATGTCACATTCATAAGAATTTCCCTCATCAACAAGGTTAATAACTCCTCTCAAAAAACTATGTTGTCTTCTTCCAACCAAACTGCATTCTTTCTTTTAAAATGTAATTAAGAAAGCAAGATAATAGCCTAATGGTAATTTATTCGGACTAATAATCCAGTGGGCCAAGCTAGTTCTCTCAAGGCACAGGTTCACAGGAAGAATTTGAATCAAGTTAACATAAAACCTGGGAAGTCACAGGAAACAATCATTGATTGTTATAAGACCATACCTGGCTCACTAATGTCCTCCACGTCTGCTATTCTGACCTGATCTGGCTGACATGTTGCTTCAAAGTTGCAGCCACAAGCCTGCCTCTGAACTGCCCTCTGAAATCGTCTAGTAAGGCACTCAGTTCAAAGGTAATTTGCGATGGGCAACGAAAGCCGACTTTTAGCAGTATTTCTGAGTCTACTGATTCCCTGAAGGACATGAATAGTATCAAGTGTTTCATACCTTTGGGTTGTTTGCATCAAACAATCCAGTTGACAGCCCAATTAAGAGAGATTGTTTGTCTTTGAAATTTGCTGGTGATAATGACCAGAACAATGGCCTGGGGCCTGGTGACTCTTCCTGTGAGGATTCCCTTGACAACACAGCTGCAGTTCTGTCCTGTGGACATGGCATCTTTTGAAAAAGCGGTTCGCTTTCTGGGATTTCGCTCCTGCAACATTCTATTTGATAAAGAAGTTGGTTTAAGTACAATTTGCTGCGGATTGAAATATACAATTAAAAAAAAATCAACCATTCAGACATGGAAACTGTGCATGTTGCTTAAGGTTTTGGCCACTTGCTTATCTTCTCATTCCCAATCTCAAACTAGTCATGACAGAATCTGATCCTGAATTAAAGCATTTTCATACAAGATAATGAGCCGGTTTGACAAAGCGCTGCATAAATAACACAACAGAACCCAAAAATGAAAAGACTACTCAGGTTATTTAGTCACATTAGAACAAAGCAAATTTACTTCCAATCCAATTTCTCCTCATTGCTCAAACTACAATTTACAACTCTGGAGATGAAGGCAGAAAATCATCTACATTAGGTAACATGTTTAAAATGGGAGTTTTTCCATTTTTAGGACAGAAAGGAAATTGATCAAGTTTAAAACAACAAAATACTTGGCACTGACCAGCATTCACTTTGCTGCCTGGCATTTCACTGTATTTGTCTGTTTTGAGCACATCCTCCTCTGGCTTTTCTGCCTGAGTAACAGCACCATCTAGTGATCTGGGTAAACACAACAAAACACAGTATGCAAAATGTGCTTACATACAAAATCAACAAGCATACAAGACAAAACTGAGAAGCAATGTCTTGACTTGCAAAATCACTACTGACTCACAATTAAGTTCTATTCCCTGCTTACTAAGTTGTTTTGAAACATGCAGCAGCACAAGTTAATTTTTGTATGCATCGAAACAGTTGCAGAAACATATTTCCTCAGTAAACATGAGAGACAACAAGGTGCAGAGCTGGATGAACGCAGCAGGCCAAGCAGCATCATAGGAGCAGAAAGGCTGACGTTTCGGGCCTAGACCCTTCATCAGAAA